ACCTGCTAGTCCCGAGAATGGCATCCATGCCACTCATTTCTTGCACTTGGTCCAAGTGCTCCATGTGTCCAGTCCCAAGACCGACACCCAAAGGTACCACTGACATATTGGCCCGTTACGCTAAGGCCATATCCATTCACCTTTGCCGCACTAGTGGTCTAATACCACTTGCATCACATTTCCGTCTCTCCAAGACTGGGCCATCTGTCCATGAGTGGTCATCCAAGATCCACTCCTTAGCATCCTTAGGATGCCCACAAACATGGGGAATAGCCTTCCCCAATATCCCTTTGTCAGTTCCTACCAAGTCTCTTTTCTGTCTATGGCCATGTTTGCCGACACTGCCACTAGATCAAGGCCCACAGGCCCGACCACTAAGTCCCATGGTCCTTTGGGACTTCCTCACCATGTGACTGTATCCTTAGTCTAGAGGACTGCTCCTCCTCCTTTCCCCCCATTTGGGACTCCTGGACAACATTTTGGAATACCGTGGGCCTATGCGAGCCCCGTGGGTACTCTCCCCACCTTCTGCCTTTAGGTGCTCTAGCCATGGGCTTAGAGCGAGGTTCCGTTGAGCCATGCATGGTATCCAAGTAGGTAGTGCCACCCACACTTGGATTAGGAGCATCGGCCAGTCGATCTCCCGGGGGAACTAGAGTCGACTCTTGAATACTTCACCAAGCTACCCCGCTTGTCAGTCCGTATTCACTCTAGTCTTGGACTTCCCAGTGGTCAGTTCATCACCCAACACTGGGTCTGGCCTTCCTGGGCCAAACTGGCCTTTCCTAGCCAAACTGGCTCCACTGCAGTCCTCCCCCTCACTATACTTTTGGAGCTCACCAAACCCCCCAGGGTTTGGGAGACGAACGCTTTGGGCTTTCACCCTCTCAGACTCAGACTCGGACTCGGACTCGGACTCGGATTCAGACTCGGACTCGGACTCGGACTCAGGCTCGACCTCGGCCTCGGTCTCGGTCCCGGTCTTGGTCTCGATCTCGGTCTCGGTCCCGGTCTCGGTCTCGATCTCGGTCTCAGTCCCGGTCTCAGTCTCGATCTCGGTCTCCGTCCCGGTCTCGGTCTCGACCTCGGACTCCATCTCAGGTCCTTCTCGGACTCCATCTCGGGTCCATCTCAGACTCCATTCTCGGGCTCTGTCTCGGTCCATCTCGGACTCCATCTCAGGTCCATCTCGGACTCCATTCTCGGGCTCTGTCTCGGTCCATCTCAGACTCCATCTCGGACTCCATCTCGGGTCCATCTCAGACTCCATCTCGGGTCCATCTTGGACTCCATCTCGGACTCCATCTCGGACTCCATCTTGGTCTCCGTCTCAGGTCCATCTCGGACTCCATCTCGGGTCCATCTCGGACTCCATCTCGGTCCATCTCGGACTCCATCTCGAGTGATGTGTTGGTCCTTTTGGGTCCCTTTTTGAGGCCTCGCTTATTGCCCGCTTCATGCTCATTCCTTGAGCACTCCATTGGGAGTTCCACTCTTGCTCTCGACCTTTCAAGTCGGAGCCTTTTAGTCCAAACGTGTTACGCTCGTTTGGCTTTTGCTTCGGCCACTACCACGTGGCACCCTTTCGGCTCCACTTTGGGGCCTAGGGATTTTGTGTCTCACATTATCGTTGAAATGCACCTTGATGGTCGCATCAGCTGCTTCCTTGTAGTTGGTTGGGTTCCAACGCATCACCTCACCGCGAGCCCAGATTTGCAAACCTGATATGAAGGCATGGAACGCATCCATATCCCCTATGTCCATGACAAGTATCCTCTTTGCCACAAACCCATTCATATATTCTTGAATGGTTCCGTTCTGCTTCAGCCTACTCAACTCGTCCCTTAGATGCAGAGTAGCATTTGGAGGAATATAAGTCGCGCGGATCCTCACCTTCATCATTTCCCAAGTGGCCACCGGTCCTTTGTTGGCCTTTGTCATTCTCCACCAAGACTTGGCATTATCTGCTAAGTATGGTTTTGCACATGGGACCTTCTCCGAGCTCAGTAACCGCAACGCTCGGAAGTAGTCCTCCATATCGTAAAACCAATCCTCCACCACCTTATAGTCATTCACTCCCTTGAAGACCGGTGGGGGCTTTGGTTTGTACTTGGAAACTACTTGAAGGACTGATTCCACTTCGGTTTGTTCAACCTTGTCTGGTTTTGCCTCAGTCCCTGCCAAAGGGTCCGCACCTTCTACACTGCCAGCATCCGCAGTCTTTCTCTTTTTCTTCCGCTTCTCGTCACGCTTTAGCTTGCGTAGGAGAGTCTCTAGCAGGGCATTGGTCTGTGCCAATTGACCTTCTAGAACGTCCAATCGAGCCTTGGACAACCGAACCTCGCCACCGGACTCCTGTTTGGAAGTTTCTTCACTGGAGTTCTCCTCATGCAAGGATTCCTCATCCATAGCCTCTTGTTCGACCGGAGGCTCCAGCTCTGGCGGAGGTTCCGTCTCCGCCTGGGTTCGCTTACACCCTGCCTTTGCCATCTCCCAACAATCCGCCTCTATCCTTCGCTAGAACTGAGGAAGAGGTTCCCATACCAAATTGTAAGCCACAAATTTTTCCTTTCCAATTTGCCAGCTTACCTCGTCTATCCAACCAACACTGCCTTGGCTTGTGCTAAGTTCCCTTGCCAAGGTTCCCGCCTATTGTACTAGCTCCTACTTGGTTTCAGGTACTCACTACATGAGCAACAGAGCGTTACCCATCCATCCACGGATTCCCAAATCTTTCCTAATCCCCCTCCCAGTGTTAGACTGGACTTAAGGTTTGGTTACACTCCCCGTAGGCACAAGTAGCCAAGCACACCAAGCCTCCATGTTCCTAACACCCCTTGGTACAACAAGACTTGATCATGGGACCCTCTAAATCCCAAGCCTTGGGTGCAACGCTTGCTTCAGGACATCGGGGCAAAACACTATGGCCTAACGGCCTGGTATGGGTACCTTTACCCCCCCACTTCCATCCTGAAGGGAAGGCCCAAGCCCCTAGGAAGGGCGAGGACCAATAAGCCACAAAGTACTCAAGTGGGGCACCACTCCACATGAGCCGGGAGCACCGTAGTTGGTTTCCCTTTCCGGAGTGGGAGCTGCTCTTGAGCACTTCCCTGGGTGGCCCCTCCGGCACCACCCAAGCCCATGCTCACTCCCACCTAAGGCACCTTGGCCCTAGTCTCAACCTTAAGTCAGTTTGGAAGCACCACTGAAGAATTCCTTCAAGACTGGTTCCTAGACCTCACTATCCCTACTATACTTTTGGAACCCCCTGCAGCCCCCCCCCCCCCCCCCCCCCGGGAGATGCACGCTTTGGGCTTTTACCCCTTGACCCATATTAGTATTTGGACTTAGTCTAGAATTCGATCTCGGACTCGATCTCGGACCCGACTTCGAACTCGGCCTCGGACTCGATCTCGGACTTGACTTCGAACTCGACCTCGGACCCGATTTGGATCTCGGACTTTGTCTCAAACTCGGTCTTGAACTCGGTCTCCAATTCGGCCTCGGACTTGATTCCGGACTCTATCTCGAACTTGGTCTCAGAGTTGGTCTTCGACTCGATCTTCGACTCGGTCCTATCCGATGAACTCTTTGTCATTTCGGTTATGCTTTCGAGGATCCTTTAGCCTACGACACCTTGGGGAGTCGGTTCCTTACACGTAGCCATACACTTGGCCCTCACATAATTAATTTTTCAAAATATTTATAGATTAATTATTCTAAATTATGTTTTTTTAATTTGTTAAAATGTTTTATATATCATACAACTCCCTTGCTGCTTCAAATGAAATATTCATTAGAAAATTTATTTTAACCCTACTCTAATATTTATTTTAGTATATATTATTTATGAGTTAGTTAAATCTATATTTTATAATGAGAAAAAATATTTATATGAGTATTCATATCTCTTTGAAGTTTAAAGGAAAACTATATATTTAAAAATTTTGAAGTTTAAATTCATAAATTCAAGTATCAATTTTGCAAAATGTTTGTTTTGAGTTGTCATAGTATTTCTTTAATTGTATATGTAAGATTTGTTGGAAAGGATGTTTAATTACATTGTCAAGAATAAGAGGAAGACTTTAATATAGCTAATTTAGCCAAGGAAAAGCTAGTGTGATTAAAGAAGGTTATACCTATGTATTGGGTGATAATATAACTATTGAGGAGTAATTATATTGTATAATAACATTTTAATTTACTTTTATTTCACTATATATAGGTTGTTTAGTGAATATATTATAAAATTACTTAATTTTTAAAAATTATTTTAACTTTATATAATACTTAATGCGAATGTGCTATTAAGATATTGCATCTATATATAAAGTAGAAGTATTAATTTTATTAAAGGTAAATGATCTTGGTGAGATTCTCAAAATTCCTAAAATGCTTGAAGAAGAATATCTTTGAGAGTGACTTTTTTTTATGATAACGCCTAGTTTGTTAATGTTTAAATTAATATTTAATTAAAGTTTTAAAAATTTACAAAATATCCTATATAAAAAAAACCTTATAACATTTTGTTTTTTGTTAAAAATTAATAATTATTATTAAAAAATTTCAGAGCTAAAAATTTAGCATAGAATAAAACATTTGAAACCATAATGAAATATGACATAAAAATTGTGAAATGTATATAATTATCACACATCAATTTTTACATGTTAGAAAAATTAAATTTATTTTATACACATGCAATAAATATATATTGGTAAGCCTCAATGAATTTACATAATTCAATTGAAAAAGTTAAAAAGTTACTATTGAAACTAGTTTTAATATTAAGATTGATTCCAATACTACTAAACTCAAACTAATTCGAATGAAAATTTGATACTGAAATTGTATTTTGTGAAGCTTATTTTTATATTTTTTTAATTAATATGAAATAGTTTTAATTTAGTTTGAGGCATTTTTTGAAAAACTAGAACCCTAAAGTTTAATCTAAAGGATGCTTGAGAATATACTTGAGAATCACTCTGCTTCTAGTAAGCCCTAATGGGTTTTCTCTCCTCCTTCACATGAGCAAGAGGAAGAAGAAATCCGAGCAGCGCGAGGCAATGGATGCGTCCTCTTCGATCGCGAGGCAGAGCTGGGAGCTGGAGAACAACATCGTCCCCATGGAGCACGCCGCGTCCGGGTCTTCGTCGCCTTCGCGCCTAGGTACGTCCTCTTCGGCCCCGGCGGCCGCAGCGGTGGATAGCTGCGATAGCATCTACGCCTACGACGAGGCGGCGCAGAGCGCGATCCAGCAGCAAAAGCCCTGGACTCGCGATCCTCACTACTTCAAGAACGTCAAGATCTCGGCCCTGGCGCTGCTCAAGATGGTTGTCCACGCCAGGTCTGGAGGTACCTTAGAGGTGATGGGAATCATGCAAGGCAAGATCGAGGGTGATACTTTCATCGTCATGGACGCCTTTGCTCTTCCCGTGGAGGGAACCGAGACGAGGGTGAATGCCCAGGCCGATGCTTACGAGTACATGGTGGATTACGTACAGACCAACAAGCAGGTACTCACGTTAGATCCTTTTTTCTCTTTCGTTTAGCTGAGCTGTTCTTTCTAGTTCTTCTTGTTCTTTCTTGTGTCCTTAGATAGTTCTTCTCATTTTCAGAAGTTCTTTTTGTGAGTTCTAGCTTCTAGATCCTGCCGCCATCTCTTCTAGGTGGTTTCTTTGGTTTCTTTTCTAGGTTCTGACCGCCTTCTTCTTCACAGATTGGGAGACTGGAGAATGTTGTTGGCTGGTACCACTCGCATCCTGGCTATGGCTGCTGGCTCTCTGGCATTGATGTCACCACGCAAGTTCTCAACCAGCAGTACCAGGAGCCGTTCCTGGCTGTTGTCATCGATCCCACAAGGACTGTCTCGGCTGGTAAAGTGGAGATTGGTGCGTTTAGGACTTATCCTCAGGGATACAAGCCTCCGGACGAGCCGGCGTCCGAGTACCAGACCATTCCTCTGAACAAGATCGAGGATTTCGGCGTCCACTGCAAACAGGTATAATCTTTGTTTCTTCTATGTCTGAGTCGCAACAACACTGATTCGTTTTTCTTTTGTTGGTGCAGTACTACCCTCTGGACATCACGTATTTCAAGTCTTCATTGGACTCACACTTGCTGGACTTGCTGTGGAACAAATACTGGCTGAACACTCTCTCTTCGTCGCCACTTTTGGGCAGTCGAGACTATGTGGCCGGACAGATCTCTGACCTTGGCAAGTAGTCTTACTTTCGTTTTATCTTTTCTCAACGAGTTCTACTCATGCAGCGGAGAAGCTAGAGCAGACTGAAACGCAACTGGCTCACTCTGGTCGAATGGGAGGCTTTTTCATGCCTTCACAGAAAAAGAAAGAGGTGAGTTTGTTCGTCGAGACTAAGAAGAGACTAGAATCGACAATCTATGTGTGCTTTTACCAGGAGGAATCCCAGCTCGCCAAGATCACCAAGGACAGCTCGAAGATCACCGTCGAGCAAGTTCACGGGTTGATGTCTCAGGTAGGACGAAGCCCACTTACACAAAACTCTGGATTTCTATGCTCAACTTTCTTGCGTTCCTCTTCCAGGTGATCAAGGACATCTTGTTTAACTCGGTGACACCAGTGGCGACGGCGCCATCGTTCGACTCGTCTGGCCCGGAGCCAATGGCCGAAGCTTGATCCATATCGCTTGCTCTTTTTTTGAATTTTCGAATATGCCAAAAATATCCTTATAGTCTTTTACCCATTTCATAGAGCATACTTTTAGGGCTTCGGGGAGTAGACCCAGGTGAGAGCTTGTATTTCTCAAGTTTCTAGCTATGGGTCTTGGATTCTAGGAGCTCCTTCTTTGTTTCTTAGAACTTTCGAGCATTGCGATGTTTACTGCTGAAGACTAGATCGTTTCTATGCTTGGGTTGTAATTTTGTCTTTCCAATCTCCTTCCAGGAGGATCATCCGGAAGAAAAACCATGTCCACCTCGTATGCGGACCTCCGCAAGATGAACAAGGCAGTCAAGTTTGCGCTGCCGAGGATCTACGGCGTGGGCAGGAGGAAAGCCGCGGAGATCTGCGCGGTGTTTGGCATCGGTGACGATGTCAAGATGAACAGCGTCCCGGACGAGCTCTTCAACCGGATGATGAACTACATCCACGAGAACCACTTGGTGGAGAAGGAGCTGGCGCTGTCCGTCCAGATGGATATCAAGCGGCTCATTAGCATCGGCTCGTACCGCGGCTACCGCCACACGGTGGGCTTGCCGCTCCGGGGCCAGCGCACGCACACAAACGCCATGTCCGCGCGGATCACCGAGCTCGAGAAGCTCAAGAAGATCCTGAGATGAAACGAAAGTTTTTTTTTTTTCATCAGCTCAAAGAGTTCACGTTGACACAACTTCTTCTAAACGAACAAGGACACTAGTAGTATCCATGTCGTTCTAGCGACAACCATGGTTTGCGAAGAGCTACTTTTTGGTGGTGGAGCTCCATTCAGCAACTCTGGAGAAATAGAAAGCAATGCATAAGATTCCTGGGTGATTTTTACGATCGATCGATACCTGGGCATTTGGAAGCATCGGCATCCACACTGCAAATCACCGGTAGAGCGAGCAAAGTGGTGATGTTGAGGCCCGAGACGTAGGAAGAGCCTCCATCGCTGATGAGCTCGCACAGACAAACCGGGTCGCCAGCTCGGATAGTCTTGAGGGCGCCGCAACAGTCCGAGGTGGGACTGCTGGCCTTGCCCGTGACGTAAGGCAAGCACGACTGGAGAGTGAGGAGCTTGCTCTTGCACGGCTCTTGGATCTCCGCCTCTATCAACCATACTGCTCCAAGCAAGACGAGAAAGATCAGAAGAGAGCGAACAGGAAGCATAGCTACAAGTGAAGAACGGCAACGTACGAGGTGTTTCACAGCCTGGTTGAACATATAAAAGTTTGATGCTCCGGATTCTGGAAGGCTTTTCGTGATCGAGCACGGGAGCCTTGTCAGTGAAAGAAAAGCAAAAGCAAGCTAACCATATAAAAGACGAGAGAACCAAAAGAAACTTGACGAAATGGTTCAAGAAACATCCAATACCCTGAGATGAAAACACAATGTTCGGAAAACAATAAAGGAAAAACTTTTATTTTATACCTGCCGGAAGTTATGGTCGACTTTGGTCCTGTGATCTAAAACTTTAGAAGAGAAGAAAGTAAAAGTAAAAGAAGTACCTGTGTGTGGAGTCAAGCAACCGAGTGCTGCCTCGAGTGCTTCTTGTGGTGGTGTTGCTGGTGACGCTGGTGCCGTTGCTTCATCAGCTCGCCATCGTCCCAGCTCGACTTCTTTTGCTGCTTCATCACCGCCGGAGAGTTCGAGTTTTTGGTGGCGGTGCTGTTCTCTTGTGTGTCCAGCGGAGGAATGGGAATGCAGCCGGTCGGCGTCGACGGTGGCGCTGGAGCTCCACCTGATGCGCAGTACGGCAGCTCGGTGAAGCTGCTGGCCGGAAAGCTCCTACTGGCAGCTTGGCAAATTCCCATCTTTTGGAACACTCGCGCGACTCTGGCAACTCCCTTGCTACTGCCACCGCCGCCACCTCTGGGGCCTGTGAGCCTCTGGAAGAACTTCCTCTTCCAGTTCTTGCTGCTGCTGCTACTGCTGCTCTTTTGCGATCGCTGCGAACTACTCGCGCTGCTGCTCCTACAGCTGCTTGCGTTGTCCTGGACCTGGTGTTGATCGTTGCGGGTGTTTTTCACCACCTCTTTGTCGTTGCAAGCGAATAAGTCACTCAGCCTAGTTGCCGACGACTCGCTCAAGCTCTTCCTCATCTGAGCCATCGCTTCTTCCAGGCCCTGCAGCCTCGTGTTGGTCTCTAAGAGGCCTTCGATGACAACCTTTTCGGAAAAATGGTTAAGTCGCATTTGCTGCTGCTGCTGCGGGATTGGAGAGGGGCTGCGGTGTAATCCTCCCCCTGGTCGCAGGTGACTGTTGATAGCATTGCGGGTCTGGAGCTGCTGCATAAACATAGCTTGGATTATAGTCCGGAGTGGCATCAGCTCGTTCTGGACGGCCTGAATGCACGATTCCTGTGACAGCTTCAGGCAGTTTAGAGCTCGGCAGACTGCTGCTCGTTCATGCTGGGACGCATCAACGTGTGCCTGTAAACGAAAACCCCATGAAACAACGAAGTCGACCAAGAAAACACGAGCATACCTTTAAGAACATATGAATAGCCTTGTAAAGTTGATCGTGGTTGGCGCGAGCATAGGCAGGGACAACTTCCACCAGCTCGGAGAACTTCTGAGGAGAGATCTTCCCGTCGCATGCAATCTCCGAGAGATACTGGTCCCAAACCTGTGCGACCGAGCTCACCGTTTGCTGCTGCTGGATAGCATTCGGAGAACCACTCGAGCCGCGGCAGAGAAGCAGGTGCTCACTGTTGGCGCTCAGAATGTTACGCTGCTGCTGAGTGAGAAACCGAGCTACGATCGCCTTCATGCTGTCCAGCTCCAAGTTCCTCTCACAGTTCTCTTTCGTGGGCGACTTGAACGGCAGTAGAAAGTCGTCGAGTGTAGCATTCTCCAGCTGCAGGGAGATCCTCGTTTCGATCTGAGACTTGCATTCGGAGCTCGCATCCATCGCAAAGGCATACCGGAGGAGCAGAAAGAGGAAGCTGACCGGAAGTGCTGTCCGCTCGTAAGGAAGTATCCCAGCCAAGGCTTCCAAAAGTTCCAGCTTCTCTAAGGCCGTAGTACTCCCAGCCGGCGAGCTCGTGTGACTTACTCTCGGCTTGCAGCTAAGTTGGAGATCCGGAGATACGTTCACCCTCGAATCTTCCTCGTGATCCCGCTCGCAGGACGAAGAATACGAGCACGTCCTCGAGCTCGCCAGTTCCATGCCATCGTCGTTGGAAACTATCCTCTCCAGCGCAAAATCCAAGCACCGTTCAGCACAATCCGGATCAGCTGCCACACCATCGAGCGAGGACGTTAGCGATGAAACCGTCGAAGGCGACTTGGTGAGAGTTAGCGGCTGGTCATTCTTGTCGTCGTTCTCGCCGCTGGTGTTACTGCTGCTGCTAAAGAGCCACATCTCCGTCCACTTGACAATGAGCTCGCCAACGAACCTCTCGCAGACTCCTTTGCTTCTCAAGCATCTCACCATCCTCCCGAAGAAAACAGGTGGCATTCGCACTATATCCTCCAGCCACCAAGTCCTATCATCGTCGCCACCATCACTGGTGTTGCTGCTGCCGATGGTGGTGACGATCATCGTCGCAAGAGCCTCTAAGCAGTTTCCGACGATTCCCAGCTCCTCGGCCAGCGGAAGCAACGCGTTGTAGCAGTCGGCGAGGACGAGCAGCGTGTGAGGCCAGCTTCGCAGCACGACGCGGACGAGGTAGGAGTCGGCTTTGCTGCTCAAGTTTGACGTGCTGCGCCGCTCGTCCATGCCAAGGAACTCGGCGGCACACCGCAGCGCAGCGACGTTCCAGGGCCTCATCACCGGCACTCGCGAGTCGAAGCAGAAGCTCACCACCGCATCCAGCGCCGCGGCGCCGCCTGGGAAGCCCGGCGGTAGCAAATGCTCGTCTTGTTCGATCGTGTCTAGCACGCGCTCGAAGTAAGAGCTCCGGCGGACGAGCAAGCACTGCATGGCAACGTAAGAGGAAATAAAAATCACAACTTCAACAAGGGATGGCCACGAAAGAAAGATGAAAGGCGAAGCTTTCATACCTTGTGGATCCGCCATCTATAGTTTGCAATCCCGACGGTCACACTCGAGTCCTTTCTATTGCACCTACGAAGAGAAAACTCGAAGCTAGGAAAAAAAGAAACCATTTGAAGCTTACCATGGACAATGCCCGACGAGCAACGCTGGGCTGGGGTGAGACATTGCCGGCTTCTCCTCGTCGTTGTCACGCGTTGCAAAGCCTTGCTAGAAAACTAAAAGAAAGGAATTTAGCTGCAAGCGTAGAGAGCACGCAACACTACCTGGAAAATGGAACCCGGTTGTTGCTATCCTTGCAAATCACTCCCCACAATCATGGCACGAATCAAGGAACTCGTTTGGTGAAAATCCATCCAAAACTTCGCTCGCTGCCATGCCTTCCTTCTTCTTCCTTCTTTTTCTTCTTCTTTGCATTCGATTTCCCTTGTGATCCCCATACCGGGCAAATGCACCAAGTGCCGTCGAGATCGCAGCCATACCGGGCAAATGCCGCAAGCGCCGTCGAGATCGCCGCCATTCCGCCACCAGCGCCACAGATCTAAAGCCTGGAACTGATAAACCCTAGCTCTCAAAGCTCATATTACCGCCAAATTATGGGCAACGCGTTGAGGCAGCTTGGCGCTTGCCTGTGCGATGCGATCAAGCAGCAAGCTCACGAGGCCGCCGCTGGCTACGGGGGCGGCGATCACCACGCCGGCTATGGCGCGTCGAGCGAGGCGGGATTCGCCGCATTTGCGCGCGACATTCTCCATTTCGACGCCACGGGCGAGGTATGGATCGAAATCTTGTCGCCAGAGCGAGATCTATCGCTCCTAGGCTGTGGAATCCGTGATCTTTTGCTGTTTCACAGGTCCCTGAAGGCCTAGCGAGCTTCGTCCAGGCGACAAGGGCGACTCAAGTCATCTGGTACGCGTTTTGAGAAGAAAATTCGCGTTTAAAGCTTAGAGGAATTCGCTCTCGCTCCCAGGTACAAGAAATTGTTGTCTGCGTGGAAGGATTCGCAGCCTCCTCCAAGAAATGCTGCCGAGGCTACCCAGTTGATCACGCAAAGCTTGCAAACACGACGCAAGAGTGATCTCCAAGTAAGTCAATGCTCTCTCTTTAAAAACCATACTTACGTGTATCTTGTGTGGAAACTCTTGGTGAAGGGACTTTTGCGATTTTATGGCTTGTCTCATCCCGTTGTTGGGCCAACTCCGTCCAACCCTTCCACACAGGCTCTGTATCCCACTTGGCCCAAAGGTGTACAATACGAATTCACTACTTTGCCAGTAAGTTTTTTAATATGAGTTCGCTTTCCTTGTTCGTTTCTCGAGCATTCGATCTTTTGTTTGCTCTCGTCCCAGGTGGAAGGTCACAGTGTAGCAGACGGTGACACCATCACCGTCTTTGTGGACGTGAGCAAAGATGACCGGGAAGAAAGAGCTGTGCCACGCTCGGTGTTTAACGCTGTAGAAAAGCGACGCCGAGCGAGAGAAAATAGGGACTACAAGAAGGCAGATATGTTGCAGCAGCAGATTTTCGATGCAGGCTACAAGTTTGATTTCTTACTCTCAGGCAGAACTCGCTGATTGTTTTGGACGAGTCCTAATCTCTTCGTTGCAGGGTGTTCGATGGCCGCGGGAGCGAAGTTCTTGCTCACAAGTATCGCATTCGCTTGAGGTAAGCCATCGTATCATTCTCGTGAAATCTTTTCTTTTTTTTCAATACAGGGGCGTGGACGCGCCTGAAAGCAGCATGCCTCACGGACCGGAATCCAAAGCAATGCTGATTAAACTAGTCGAAGGCCAGCAGCTACGAGTATACGTCTATACAGCTGACCAATACGGTCGTTTAGTAGCAGACGTGCACACTAGCCACGGATTTCTTCAGGTATTTTATTGATCGCTTTCGACCCAAGGTTTTTATGTTTGTTTCTCCAATCACAGGAACAGCTGCTAAAGAGAGGCTGCGTCTGGCACTACTCTCAGTACGATCACCGGCCAGAGCTCTCAGAGGTACGATACGATAAAATTCTCAGGCTTAAATCGAGCTATAAACTTTTTCAGTGGGAGCAAGAGGCAAGACGAGCACGCGTTGGACTGTGGCATTTTCCAAATCCTGTAAAGCCCTGGGAATACAGGAAAAACGCAAGATAGAAGGATCTCATCTCTACTGCTTTGACAAGCATAACATAACGTAAGCATGAAACATTTCCTTGCGATGATCTCTCTAAAAATCTATTGATGTTTCCGTTTCCAGTTACTGAAGATCGGTCGTCGTATCACCCAACACACGTTTATTTGTGATCCAGGTCAAAGGCTGGACGAAAAAAATCCATCTTTTTCAATCAAACGATTCACGGCCGTGAAGTTTCCAGTATATTTCCAGGACCATTCCTGACCGAAAAAAATACAACTCCAGCGGCGTAAGCGTTTGACAAAGGAGAAACGTCCTTGGACAAATTCCAATCTTCCAAGTAAATACTTGAATTGGAAGATTGGAAGATTTTTCCTAGCCATGGATCGACCCAAGCAAAGCAAAGCTCGAGTTCTTTGTGCTTGACTGGCACGCCCATTGTGCGCCACAAACCTAGATCTTGGAGCATGGCCCAGCGTGGCTCCATCACACTCGGATCATATCCCACCGGATTTTGCTAGCGAAATATCCACATTTCTATCCGCCGTACACGACAGGGAGCCTAGGGCTAGTTACAATGCACCCCGCGCATGGGACCCATACATGGCCATCCGCGCATAATGCATGACCCGGTGGCCCATCCACGTCATCATTGCGATCCGTCCGTACTCCCACTCAGATAAGCCGCCCATGGGGACACTGAATGCACCCATCCATGACATGGCAGGCATGGCATTCGGCATCCGGTGCGGTGACGTCATCGCGATGACGTCAATGGGGCGCGCATATTCGCCGGCGGGCTGGAAGCGTCTGCGCAGCTTCGCCACAGTGACACGTCCCTTAGAAAGCTCTGAGAAACGTGGGCTTTAGGAATATGTGAAGAGGCGACAAAGGGGCCATCGGCCATGGGGCCCAAGCGCAATGTTGGTGTGTTAGTGGTTTTGGTACGGTGGTGGCCAACTTGGGGCCACATTTCAGAATCACGTGTCAAATGCTCATTGTCGGTACCGGTGTTGCACAAACCCCTGCTCAATTATTGAATGCCGGGATATTCACTGGGCATATTCGCCCATGGGCATGGCATGGGGCACATGGCCACCGCATTCAACAGAAACAACAAAAGGGGGAAAAGAGAGAGAGCCCGGGCACGCCATTTGTTTTTATAATTTACAGGGCGCAAGAGGCGGGCTCGCGATTCCCTTCTTTCTCTTTCCCTTTTTTCTCTAGTCTCCTCCTGGGCGGAGAGCGCTAGGGTTTTGTGTCGCGCATCGGCGAGGTGGGATTTCCATTGGCGCGTTGCGATTTCTTGGACGTGGCGATGCGCCGCCGGCCGCTGTCGCGATTCTCGGCTGGGGCTGGGTAAATCAGAGCGCAGATCGGCGAGGTTTTCGTGGATCTTGGCAAGGCCCTGGAGGAGCGATGAGGTAGCGTAGCGTGTGATCAATCCTAGAGGAAGCGACTGGATTTGTGCGAGGCGGCTATGGTGCAGCGGCTTGTGGACGGCGGTGGGGAGCCGGAGACAGGGAATTGCAGCAGCCTCAGCTGGCAAGGGCTGCATTTCGGGCAGAGGAGCTCAGATCGAGGCGCCTTGGGCAAAATTGGGGACATGCTCTTGCAATTGAAAAGTGGGGGCGAGTTCAAGGTGCCCGTAGGAGTTAGTTTCCAGCAGAAGAGGTGTGACAACGATGAGGATTTGGAGCTCGCTCCCGGGCCCAAGCGCCACAAGCTCTCAGACCTTCCATTCAAGGTTAGTTCCTTTCTCTCTTTTTTTTTTCATTCTTTTTTACTCTAGTGGAAGTGGTCATTCTCGTTTTTTTGTGCTGTGTCTACAGACCAAAACATGGGCTACCACTGTGTCCGGCGAAAGTTCTTTTGAAGGTCGGCTGAGGACGAGAGTGCCTTTCACTGTGTCGGCTCACTCGTATCACCCCTTGGACGAACCGAGTCCGCTGGGTTTGACGCTCAAGAAGACCCCATCTTTTCTTGATCTCGTTTCCATGACAATTAGTCAAGGTTGCGGGAGCAGCGACTCGCTGCTGAACGATGGGTCGTCTCAAGGAATAGCCAATCGATCGGGTATTCCAAATGCCAACCAGTCCCAAGGCAAACTCAAGGCGTCCAACTTTCCTGCTTCCACACTGAAGATCGGCTCTTGGGAGGTCGGTGATAGCTCTCGACTTGCTTGTTGGAAGCTTACGATCTTTTCTGCTTTCTCTCAGCGAGTTTCTCGATACGAGGGTGATGTGGTCGCCAAATGCTACTACGCGAAACGTAAACTTGTCTGGGAAGTCCTGGAAACCGGCCTCAAAAGCAAAATTGAGCTTCAATGGTCTGATATATCAGCGATCCGAGCCAGCTACGGAGATGGCCAACTTGGAATCTTAGAAGTCGAGGTACGCCATCGCGACGTTCCACTAGAAACTAATTCTATGTTCCAACAGGTATCGCGGCCGCCTTTGTTCTTCAAGGAGACCAACCCGCAACCGCGCAAGCACACCTTGTGGGAGGCCACCTCCGATTTCACGGGAGGCGAAGCGACAATATGCAAGTTAGTATCAATCACTCTCGCTTACAAATGACGCAAAATCTCATCACCACCTTTTCTTTCTCTCCAGGCGACATGTCTTGCAGTTTCCGGAAGGTGTCCTCAACAAGCATTACGAGAAGCTCCTACAGTGCGACGCCCGCTTGAAGGCCCTGGCCGGCCCCGCGCCGAACGATGAGCTGCATCAGGAGGTAACCCGTGATTCCAAGTCTAAGCAAGTGGAGAGTGAGCAGCCGTTGATGTGTCCCAGAGTGAAGCTAGAACTGCCGCTAGAAAGCCGCTGCTCTCCAAGCTCAGGTAAGGCAGTTGCGAGCAGTCCAGTGGCGTGGGTCTGAGACAAAACTCCTTCGTTTTTCTTCTCCCAGTGATGGAATCGAGGGGTAGCGATGACAGTGATACAGAGGAGTGCCCGCTTCGTAGTGTCGACTCACAGGCTTTGGTGGCAGCGACCCCGAGTGACAAGATCGACGAGGAGGAGGAGGACGACGACGACACTCTCGAGCAGAAGCCGCGGGTGCTGGTTCTCACCGACAAGGAGGTGCTCAACGAGATCGCCCAGATCTTACTCGGGGAGACCAGCGCCGCCAAGCCGTCCCCGGAGCGTGGCCTGTTTAGAGTGAGCTCCATGTCCGGGTTCGTGGAGGATGGCTGGGTGCCGGCGACTTACTCGGTCTCGGACTGGAGCTCGGCCGATCCGGCCCACGGCAGCGAAGGCTACGGTTCCGACGAGAAGAGCTTCGTCACGTACAACAGTGAGAGCGGCGGCAGGAACAGCGGCGTTCTGTTCGAGCTGGACGAGAAGCCATCGCTCAAGATGGATGAAAGCCTTGGCAGCGGCAGCAGCGGTGATTTTGGCAGCGGCAGCGGTGGTTTGCACGACTCGGTGAAGCAGTGCTTCACCCGGCATGGATCAGCCGGCGATCTTCTGGTAAATCTGCCCAGGATCGCGTCGCTGCCTCAGCTGTTCGAGAATGGCGTGGCTCGTCGCGACTCCCATCTGTCGTTCCTGGAGCTCTTGTGACGAAGACGCACACACGGGGCGCCCCCGTTTTAAATTTGAATCGAAAGAATTTTTAAAAACATGCCGCGTGGACATTCCTCCCGCCAAAACGGATATGCCCGTGGCGGATATTCCCGCAACGTACACCCCGAGGGGGATATTCGCTGAATTGGGAGTACGGGCAGAATATTCTAACCTAGGGCCGGGGGAAATGGCGAAGCGGGCGCTCGGTGCTGGTAAGCTCGGTGCTCCAATGCGGCCTCGCATTGTCTAGTCCCAGGCCGGGAGGGCTAGATCTAGGTCTTGGCAGCTCGGATCTATGCGCGGTGCGGCTAGGAAGCTCGGATTTTGGCAGTGGTAATCTGCGCTGGTCGATCCATGGGAAGGCCCGTTGGTGTGGAAGGGGGACTGGTAGCTCAGCAATGCCGTAGCGCTGCCGCCGCTGCCGCCGTCGTCGCGCCGTCGCGTTGTTCCGTGGAGGCGGCGGCGGCGTCGTGGAAGTGGGAAAGCGGCAGCGATTCTTGCGATTCCGGTGGAGGAAATCCGCCTTGTTCTTGTTCTTGGGACAGCGTAGGGGGGCTGGACGCTCAGCAGCTGGGAGTTCTCCAAAAGGTTGCGAGCCGGGGAGTTTTCTGGCAGCACCCGAGCTTGCCAGTCGCCAAGGTGTATGGCTTGCAGTATGGAGGGGACGTGGAGGCGGATGGGAACTGCCTTTTCACGGCGGTCCAGCGAGCAATGCAGCTCAAGGAGGCGCCGGTGGAGATCCGGCTCGCGACTGTGCGCAGGTTTGTGGACGACTACGAGGCCGCGGATGCGGAGGAGAAGGAGAGATTGGACAAGATCATCAAGAACCTCTACTCCCCGGACATGTCCACGGGCTGGGGCGTTCACGTCGTGCAGGAGGTGAAACTCCTGGCAAAGAAAACCGACAGGGAGGCCCTGGAGACCGAGATCGAGGAGATGATTCAAGTTGGCATGTCAAGGTGAGGTTTTTATTTCCGTTTCCTCTGTGAAAAACTACCTTTTTCTTGTTCTTTGCAGGGAGTCAGCGATAGAATCAGTGTACAACGAGCATTGCCTACGTGTGCGCGACGCTTGCAGCTGGGCGAAGTATATGTCCATCTCCGGTCAGGCCACGGACGAGTATGACATTGTGACTTTGCTGTACACCGAGGAGGGGCTGCTCAGCGTGGAGATGAACGCCGAGGGGAAAGCTGCGGCCTTTGGAGATGACATCGCCATCCAAGCACTGGCGAGCGAGTTCCAGCGACAGTTGTTTGTGGTAAGAACATCACACTTGTCATCCTTTGGTGGTATTAAAAGTTTTCTCTTTCTTGCTTTAGGTGCAAGTTCATGGGAAAGATGGCAGCGCCGAGAACTCTGAAGGCTTGATTTTTTTTCTTCCGCACTCCCCGCGGCAAGAGATCAGTCATCCGCCCGTTTTCTTACTTATGAGGGGAACAGGTTCGTTTTTCTTGTTTCTTTTTTCCGTGTGTTTGCTTTGAATGGTCTGAGCCGGGAAGTTTGCAGGTTGGTGTGGTGCTGGTGGCGATCACTACGAGCCAATCCTCGCTAAACTTCTTCCCGTCGTCTCCAAAGAGAAGGCAGCTTACATTTTGTGAGAGGAAAAAATTTTCCCCGTGGGAGTTGGACAGAGTTTGGAGGTTTTTTCAGTTTCTCCAGGAGTGTACGTAAAACCCAGATCATTCTTTTTGTGATTCTACTATGTTTATTATTACACTTTTTTGTCAGGAGTGTCTTTTTAAACATTTTTTTGTGCTCTAGTATTCTGACAATGCTTGATCACAACAATAACACGCTTCCACAACGAGCACTATATGAGTCAGGTTCAAACACCTAGAAGATATCTGGCTCATTGTTGCTCTTTATGTTTGCACATCTAGATTCTAGAATGGAATATGCTGCACAAAGTTTGAAATAACTTAACTATTTTAGTCATTTCCTTCAATCTTTGTTTCAATCGAAATAAATTATCTGTATAGTAAACTAAATAAATCTAAGCTTCTAGAAATAACTACTTAAAATGCTTATAATAATATTGAGCTTACAGGAAATCAGTACAACAATTTTAATCAAAGTAAAGTAGTTTCTTTTTTCTTCTTTCCTTGTTAGAAGCATCATGTCTCCTTGAGTTTATTCTTATTATAGTGTATTAGTAGGAGAATAATAATTATTAGCATGTCTAAATATGCATTTTAAAGACATTTAAGAGAAGACTCCAATCCATACCATTTAAACTATTGTACCACTATAATCTCATCCTTTGGAAATATATAAGAAACTTTCACAAACGCCAAACATTATTACTGTAAAATGATCAAACCAATGATATATATCAACCTTCATATTCCTATAAAAGAAATTTGGATACATGAGGATTAGTAGCAAAATTATGAAGAGTTGCTTTACATGCTCTTAGGAATCCCCCAATTCATACCACATTCTTGAATCTTGCTGGATTCTTGACCTGCAGACCACATTTCTAATTCTCAAGACACTTCTCTATTCCTAACTCTCGAGACTTTTCCTTATTCCTGACTCTTTGATTTCCTGTACGATTCCTGAGTCTTGAGCCACATTCCTGATGATGATGTGGTGCCTCCTCGACCTCAGCTATATTTATGCCGTCCTTGATCCAAGAGTGGTGGAGCTTCAACAACCTATAGTATATATAGGTTAACCTTGTTCCATTTCTCCACAATCTGAATCAACACCAGTCTAAGGCTTCTTTTTTGTTTCCACTAGCTTTTCTCTTTGTCTTTTGCATTTTCCAGTCTTGATTTTGTTGGGGGTCTTGACACATGCTATGAACACCGCTATCTACTTCTACAACCATATAATATTAAATAACTACATCAATTAATTCTTTAAAGTCAAAGAGTGTAAATAATCAAAGAGAATGACTTAATAGATTATCTATTAATTTCAAATATAAAGGGAAAGTCACTTTTTTTCAAATGGTTAAAATATTTAGGGTTAAGCATTCTTGGATTTGAGTAATATTAAGCCTAACTGACCTTTTAAGAAGCATAAATTCATGAACTTATATTTGGTATTAAAAAGGTTTTGAGTTTAACTTTACTGGTTGAGTAAGTAAATTATGCCATATATTGAGATTAACATTTAAAAGTTTAATTTACTCTAGTTGGGCTCAATCTTGAAGGGTAGGATGTCAAGAGGATGAAATTCTCAACTTCTATTTATGAGGGCATAAATTTATAAAAAAGTGTGATGGATTGTAAATAATAAAAAAAAGGATTTAATAGATGATCCATAAAGATTCAAATATAAAAAGAAACAAAGAAAGCAAATCTCTTAGGAGAACTATATTTATCACCTTCCATTCACGAGGGTTTAAATTTGCAAAGAAATGTAATGGATTGTAAAAAAGAAAAAAAAAAACTCAAAAAATGATCTATAAAGGTTTAAATATAAAGCAAAATAAAAAAAATAAGACTCTCAAGAGAGTTACAACTTTTAGTTTTTGTTCACAAGAGTATAAATTTGTATAAGAGTGTGGTGAATTGTAAGAAATAAAAAAAATTAATTCAAAAAACAATTTATAAAAGTTCAAATATAAAGAGAAACAATTTATGAAAAAGTATACCTTTGTTTTTCAATTGGTTAAGAATATTAGAATACTTAGGGTTAAATGCCTTTAATTTTAGAAATACTAATCTAAGTAATTTTATAAGAAATTTAAATTCAAGAGTTTATAAGGAGGAAGAAAGAAAGAAACTAATGTAAGGGAGTATATAATAATAATGCAAGAGTTAAATCTCAACAAAAAACACAAATTCAAGCATTTTTTAGGGAAAATTAAAGTGACATAGAATATAGAAATATGCATATTCTATTAGCCAGAAAACTTTGATTTATATACAAAATCCAAATCCCATGCCTTAAACCTTATAATAGCACTTTAAAAAAAAGCAAAACACAATAATTAAACAAAAATGTTTAAAAATATTTTAACACTCTTACCCTAACCAGGACTAAATTAGGTCAAGATGGCGCGCGCATTTGTGGGAATGCGGCAACGAGCGCTGCGGATCCAATCCACATTGTCCGCGCGCTCGAGGTCCGTCGTCACAGTCTCTTCCAGCCTCGACTTAGATTCCGACCTCGCATTACAGGAAGCGCGGACCTGGGACCAGGGTCTCGAATCCCAGTTCGCCACAACGCCGCTCTCCCAGATTTTCAAGGTCAGTATTGCTATTCTGCATTCGCTAGCAATACGATAATCTTGCTATGAACTTTCACTAGTTCTTGTGCTAGTATCTCATCAATCCCTTAGACAAAGTCTTCTAGCTCTAGACATTTAGAAGTTTCCTGTTCTCTTCATGTTCTCTTATCCCCTTTTTTGTCTTTCAGGACAAGCGTGTTGTCATCTTCGGTACTCCAGTAAGTTATTCTTTCGTCTTTGTTGTTCTTCGAGGAAACAAGCAAAACTAAACAGAAGAAGAAGAAAAAAGAGATCGTAACTTACAATTCACTCCATTTCCATCCAGGGCGCGTTCACGGGTGTCTGCACCAAGGGTCACGTCCCCAGCTACACCAAGAACGTCGAGCAGCTGAAATCCAAGGGCGTCGACTCCGTCATCTGCGTCGCGGTGAACGACCCCTACACCATCAACGCCTGGGCCGAGAAGATGAATGCAAAAGGCAAGGTTAGCTTTCTTTTTCCTCCTCCTCTACGTGCGCTTATTTCTAAGAGTTTGGAACGCTCCCAGATCCAGTTCTTCGCCGATTTCGACGGTAGCTTCCACAAATCTCTGGGCTTGGAGTGTGATTTGAGCAAGGCGCTGCTTGGCCTTCGTTCGCAGAGGTGGAGAAATCTCTTTCGGTATTTGCTTTTGACATTCTTGAGAAATAAACTACGCAGGTGGTCAGCATTTGTGGACGATGGTGTGGTGAAAGTCCTCAAGGTGGAAAAGGTTCCTTCGGAGCTCAAGGTTAGCGATGGCGAGACGATGATCAAAGCCATCCATTAAAGCAGGGAGACGAACGAGACAGTGTTTATATTAAACTGGATTACTTATAAAAACCAACGTACTGTTGTGTTAAATACTTTTACCGGCAGTTTGACCTTGACTGGATGTCCGTACGCGCCGATTTTTGTTTTCCAGTCCGTACTCGGCTATGGAGGCGGACTTGTTCATGCGACGCCCCGCAATTTCCTCTTTCGCGTATAGGTTTGTTTAGGTTATTTCTTGGCGCTCCTGGCGGGCTTCGTGCGCAGCGCTTGGTTGCCACCGACTATTCCAGGTCTGGCTCTGTTTCTTTCGATCTATCCGGCCAGCATTTTCCCTCTCGCTCGCTGCGCGCGATGAAAATCCAGGCATTGGCGATCGAGCTGGGGAGAGCATCTGGCGGCTAAATCTTGCTTTCTATTCGGAGCTACAGGATAGCGTGTCTCTGATCGATCGATTGGCTGGAACTTTGCAGGGCTTGGGCGAATAGATGTTTGGAATCTAGCCATAGCTGCGCGGATGGGGTCGCTGTGTAGCAAAGGCCAACCAGTAGCACAAGAGGAGGACGAAGAGCGGGTATTAGATACCATAGTTTTTCCTTTGTAACGTGGGCTTTGTTTGACGTAGGAACGTGAATTAACCCGGCAGCTCAAGCAAGAGGATCGAATCGAGAAAAACGTGTATAAGCTCCTCCTCCTCGGTATGTGTGGACTTCTGCTCTCTTTTGTAGACCAGGAAATAAGTTTTGGATCTCTCAGGTTCTGGGGAGTCGGGGAAATCAACCATCTTTAAACAGGTTCGTGCCATCTGCTAGAACGGCTTTAACCTGAGAACTTGGAAGTTTTCTTAGTTTTCTTCTGCTCGTGCAGATTAAGTTGCTGTACAATACGGGATTTGGTGTTGAAGAGCTGAAGAACTACACTCCTGTCATACACGCGAATGTGTATCAGGCAATTAAGGTAGCTAGCACTGTCCTGATTGATTGTTGGGCATTTTCTTCAAGATTTTTGATAGGAATCACTCGTGTAGATTCTCTACGAAGGATGCTTGGATCTGCAGAAGAAGGATGTTTCAGGAGAGTACACGATGAGGCGGGAAAACATGGTCTGCCTGATTACCTTACTCCAGTTTGGAATTTTATCTGAGTGTTCTAGGAGCATGGAAAGAGAATCGCGGAAATTGGTGACGGAGTGGATTACCATCCCATAGGTTTACTAGAAAGTGATCTAATTGCACAGATTTGGAGTGATCCTGCAATTCAGGTACAGTTTCTTATGCAATTTTTTTATTTTTTTTTATAAAAAAAATGGTTTTCTACAGGCAACTTATCGAAAAGCGAACGAATTGCAACTCCCTGACTGTACAGAATATTTTCTTAGCGGCGTGGACAGGCTAGCAAAACCTGACTACATACCAACAGAGGCATGCGTTTCCATTTTCCATTTCTTGTTCTATTCTGAAGCGAGTGTTCATTCAGGAAGACATACTCCATGCTAGAGTGCGGACAACCGGAATTGCTGATGTAGTGTTCAAGTAAAGTCTCGAGAACATATGTTTGGTTGCTTGTTAACTGAAATACTGGTTTTCAGGCACGACGGACACACCTATAGAGTCTTTGACGTGGGAGGCCAGAGAAACGAACGTAGAAAGTGGCTTCACTTGTTCGACGGGGTTAAGGCCGTCATCTTCTGCGCTGCATTGAGCGAGTGGGTACTTAAAATTCTACTGCCAAAGCAGTCTTTCACTGAATACAATTCGCAGATATGATCAGAATCTCTTCGAAGACGAGGGGAAGAACCGGATGGTTGAAACGATGGAGCTTTTTGAGTCGGTCCTTCGGCATCCAAGTTTTGAGGTACTTGTCTAAAAGCATTTTTGTGTTTTTGTTGCGTCATCTCCTCCTCTTTGCAGAAAACATCGTTTCTTGTATTTCTAAACAAATACGACATATTTCGGAAGAAAGTACTTTCGGTGAGTTCTAAGCTTTCACTGAAAGTAACTCAACCGAGGCCTTACGCAGGTGCCCCTGAATGTTTGCGAGGTGTTTCGAGACTACAATGAAGTTCAAGGCGACCAAGAAAGGAAAATCTCTCACGCCCTTCAGTAAGCTTTACTTAACTGTTTTCTCGTTACGGATTTTTGAGACCCCGGCCGGCTTTCCAGATACATCAAAAACAAATTCGACGAGATTTACAAGCGAAACACCCCAGGGCTCGGAACACAGAGGCTGTGTTGGCTATTCGAGACGACAGCTCTGGACCCGCGCATAATGAAGTACACCTTTGAGCTCGTGGACAAGAACCTCGTCGTTTCGAGCATAAGCCTCTTGTGACAATGAGTTCAACGCTGGCAAACCTTCGATCTCAAGTGCAAACTTACAGACGACAAGGCGACAGCTCAAAAGAAGAGACTCGAGAAGTGGACTTAACATCATATCTCAATGCCCATTCCGGGCATTTTGCGGTATCTTCTAAGACTGAAGACAATATGAGCATACATGCATATTTTCAGATTTCCGAATCTTTAGCGCACTCTTTTCCTTCATGGGAAATGTCGCAGCAGCGTGCGTAAGCCCGGAGCAAATTGGTGAGGAAATTTCCAAATGGTTGGCAGGGAACAATGGTATCAATCGGATGATATCACCGATAACAACCTTTGTTCTATACCATACCTATTAAAGTCAACTTGTATTGAAAATTCCAAACGTCCATTTTCACCTGTACTTTGCTTAATTTTCTATTAATTCGTTCTTTTTCTACCTTTTCTCTTGGTTGGAAGAGAGGGCAACAAACACCACTACCTACCCAAAGACCATAGAATTAACACCCAAAATAAAACACGTTCACGAAAAGATGGCCGGCCACATTGCCAAAATCTCCCAACGAGAAGCTTCCCGGGTTGTTCGTCGGGCAGCCGTCGGATCCGGGCCACCGGGGCCGTCGGATGCTTCAACATTGACGGCAAGTGGCCAGTCCTTCGTCAAAGCCTCTTTACACTGGGCGGTCCTTCGCTCACACACGAACAAAACACTGTGGATGGGATGTGTGATTTTGGATGCGTCGGAATGGATGCTCGGGGAATCCAGACGGCCATGGATGGCGCGTGGGGGGCGCTTATAGGGAAGCTGGAGGCGATCTGATCGGCGATTCTCGGCAGGATTGGCGTGCGCGGCAAGGAATATTGCGCTGGATCGCAATTCGCGAGGTCTGTAGCGTTTCGAGAGGGGGATTGATCCAAGGGGGGAATTCTATGCTCCAGAATTACTCGCCTGTAGCGCCGCGCTTGGATTTTCCTGTGGAGGTACAGGAGAATTCCTTGCTACATTTTTTCCTTTGATTTGGTGAAATTTTTCTCTTGGATCGATTCCAGGGCCTGTGAATGGCTGTTAAAAGGAAGGAAATGGGAGAGAAGTCGAGGATAACACTGAGACAAAGGCTACAAGCGGCAGTACAGAGTATACAATGGACTTATGCTGTTTTCTGGAAGCCATGTCCACCTCCACAAGGGTAAAGAAACTCTTTGTCCTTATGGCTAGACTATCACTCTCTTTTCTTATACCTTTTGTGGATCACGAACCTCATTGGGAAAGTTTGCATGATCACAGGGAGCTTGTTTGGTCGGATGGATACTACAACGGGAGTGTGAAAACGAGGAAGACGATCATAGTTTCCAGAGAACGGAGCCCGGAAGAACACGGCCTACAGAGAAGTGACCAGCTGCGAGAACTGTTTGAGAACTTGTCAGCGTCCGGAGATGGTAGCCAGTCCTCGACAGCCACCCGGCGCCCGACTGCTGCGCTCTCGCCCGAAGACTTGACGGACACCGAGTGGTTCTACTTGGTTTGCATGTCGTGTACGTTTGATCCAGGCACCGGGTAAGAAAGAACTTTAGAAAGAAACCATAGCTTCTCTAGAGACTTACTTTAATTTTCTTTGTGTAGAATACCTGGACAAGCTTTCTCGAAAGGACGTCCTGTCTGGCTTTGCAAAGCTAATGAAGCGACTACCAAGGTTTTCTCGAGAGCGTTACTGGCAAAGGTATAAATACTTGTTGCTCATGAGAGGACACACGCCTGACTTTGTCTTGTTTTCATATCCAAATTGGAGGAGGCTCCAGACTGCGTGCATTCAGGTAAGAATGATTTCCGACGTCCTTGTCGTTTGTCAATCAAGTCCTGAACTGCTAGTTTGCAGACAGTTGTGTGCATTCCCATGGCCGAGGGTGTTTTGGAGCTTGGCTCGACTGAGCTTGTAAGTTTGTCGTGCTCCTTTCGTTTTCTGTAATTAGGCGCTCAGAAGGATTTACGTTACAGGTCCGAGAGGATACGTCCATTGTACAACACGTTGTCAGCTTCTTTGTTGAGCTTGCAAAGCCAACTGTTTCGGAGCCGTCCATCTCGAGCTCTCAAAGCGGTGAGAATGGACACCAAGACCTTCGCCCCTCCTCACAGGATGGTCCTTCCAGCGAGCAGCCTAGGCAACGACAGAAAATGGAGAGATGCAGTGCTTTCCAGAGCTGGAAAGAGTTTCAAAGACAGGCTTCAATATCATCGAGCCAAGTGAAAAGCCAATGCCAGGCAATGCTTAAAAACGTACTCTTCCGGGTTCCTCACATGTACACAGCAGCTGAAAAGTCGGAGGCTGCCAAAATGAACGACAGTGGAGGAGATAGTCAGTCGAAATCAGTGTCAAGAAAGGAGGACGATGTCAACACCGCTCACGCGATGCTGGAGCGCAGGAGAAGGGAGAAGCTCAACGACAGATTTTTGATGCTGCGAAACATGGTTCCTTTTGTCACCAAGGTAAGCTAATTGTTTTCTTCTGCTTGTACTTTCATTGCAAACGTGGAGGCTTTGCTTGTAGTGTAGATGGACAAGGTGTCGATCTTGGGAGACGCGATTGAGTACCTGAGGCAGCTGCAAAGGCAAGTCGCTGATCTCGAGCAACGGAACAAAGTTCTCGAGGCAAGGCTCAGAGGACAGGACGTACCTGTTGAAGCCGAGAAAGCTCAAAGCAGTCCTCCACAGGATCATCCGCAAGAGAAGCCAGCGCCGCAGGACATGGCAGTGGACATGGAGCCAGAGGATAGCTTTCCAATGTCCACAACTTACAAGCTGGGACCGGACAGCTCCAGCTACAAAGCCGAGATCCAGATGCAAGACGACTTCACAGCTCTCGAAATCGAGTGCTCCTTCCGGCAAGGAATCCTTCTGGACATCCTCGCGGCCCTGGACAAGCTCAACCTCGACGTCTCCACGGTCGAAGCACGGACACCCGACCAACGAACGTTTTGTGCCAGCCTCAAGGCAGAGGTGAGTTTGCAAGCTTTCAAAGTTTTCTCTTTTACCACGCCAATGGTTTCTCTCTTTTACAGGCGAAAGATTTGCCGAGAGCAAGCGAGCAAGATATAAGCGAAGCTCTCCAGAGAGTAACGCGGCCTCTGTCATCCTAGAAGTTTGTTACTTCAATTGCTATGATTTTTCATCTTCGCAGATCACGGCCCAGCGGTCAAACTGGGCAGAAAAGCATAGCTGCAAAACGGATTGTGCCAGTGATCCTTCTCCAGCGGGGAAGTTATCACAACCTCGCGATCGAGTTCTTCCGCCGCAACGCAGCAATCCCACGTCCTCCTCCCGATATGAAACGCAACCGGAGGCCACGCAAAGCAGCTCATGACGATCACATCGCCCAGCAGGAACCCGGAAGATCTCGCAAAGGACAGCTTTGGCCACCTCTTCCCATACAGATCTTCCGTCCAGGCCTCCGACACGAGCAGCCATCTCTCTCGATTCCCATCGAGCATCCACACGCCATAACCATGGCCGCCACTCGAGCTCTCCAGCGACGTCGCCAAGACCCTGCTGCCTCTGTAGGAGAACCCCTGGATGATCCGATCGGTGGGCGTGATCCCTCTCGCAGCCTTCCACCGCGTCCACCCCAGAAGCCTATGATCGTAGAACCTTCGAAGTCCCCGACGCGCGCATAGCCGGGCGAGAAGTGGAGCTTCTGCTTCTCCGCTAGCTCGCGGCCGCCTAGGCACGCACCCTTCCGCCACCGTCTCTCGCCCAAGCTGTACTGCAATGCGTGGCCGATGAATCCTTCGCTCCATCGCCCACGGACGATCGCCACCGAGTAAGCTCCCGTGCTCGCGTCCATCTCCAGGCTTTCTAGCTCCCACTCTAGCCAGGAGGAGCTCGATGTGGCGGCGGTGCCCCGCCCGGGGATGCGCTTCCACTTGTTCGTGATCGGATTCCCCAGGAAGAATCCATTGAAGGGCTTGAACCATAGGCAAGCGCACACCAGGCCGTGCGCGGTGGAGAATTAGAGCCCGTTCTCGCCGGATTCGTGCGGGAATGGGAAGTGCGAGAGCTTCACCGGGCGAGACTTTTGGGCGGAGAAAGGAGCCCAGATCCTCAATCTAGGCGCCGGATCGATGCTGCGAGTGATGAAGACCAGAGGGCTTCGATTCCTTGACAGGAAGCGCGCTACCAGATCGTACCAGGATTTGCAGGCCAGGAGCAGTGGGATGGCCCGATCGAGCCCAAGGCGCTCCAAAATCTGGAAGAAGGAATCCTCGTCCCCCATGGTTTTGCCCTAAAGTTTCGCGGTCAATAAGCTTTCTGCAATAGGTTTGGATCATTTGGTTGTATGTGTTTCTTCTATCATTTGTTCTCTGGTGGTGGATGTTAGAGGTAATTTTATAACTTTATAACTTTTACAATTTTATAAAATGTGCAAAACCTAACTTTACACCTTTAAGTTAAAATTTTTAAAAGAGCCCAAGAACCCTAAAATCTCAGAAGGGTTTGCAAAGCATGAGCAATGCCGATCTTGGAGCGCCTCCAGTGGAGGGACTGTCGGGCGGAGGGACTGGCTACGGCTGGGGCGATTGCGGCATCGCCGTCTCTCGCCCTGGATCCGTGGACATCGCCAAGAATCCGGCGTCCGATCTCTTCAGCGTGTGGTGCATGCCGAGCACGGCCACGGTGGGGCACCAGGAGCCCCCGCGGGCGCTAGATCAGGTCAGTGGATCGATTGAGCGCAGCAATTTGGATCGATCGCAAAGAAAATTGGATCGCTTTGCTTGTTCGCAGTTAAATTTATTGATTGCGAGGAACGAGCGGGAGAGCGCTCAAATCGCTCTTCGCCCGAAAATCTCTTGGGCTTGCGGTGGTGCTGTCGGTCACGTTCAAGTGCACTGCAGAGATTTTGTCTCGGCTTCTGGAGATCGGTGGGCTATCGAGCTACTTTCGTGTGGTGATTCTCAAGCGTTCTTCTAGGCTGGAGAGCGTTTCCTTGCGGCGAGTTGTTCCTATACTTGGAGTGCCTGATGCTCTCGTCCCGGTGAGCATGCCAACTTGTCAAGTTTCGCTTTTGCCTGGGTAAGTGAGGCTGCCAATTTTTCTCTCCTAGTTTTCTACTCTCCGTGGTTTGAATTAAACAGGGAAACATCTGCTCTGTGGTTGTCTGTGCATGTTCCGTCGTCGCAAACTCCAGGAGTGTACGAAGGCGAGATGACCTTTAGTGCCGTCAAGGCGGATGCAGAGTAATTCTCTCAATCTCATTGTTGGTCAGTAGCATGGTTGCGATTAGAAGTCTGCAACGAGTGTCTAATTTGCTCGTTCCTGTGTAGGTTCTCTGTCGACGAAGGCGACAAGTTGGAGCTCAGGAAGATGGTCGAAAATGTGGCTGCTAAAATGGACGATACAAGACAGAATCCGGTACAAGATCTCTCTTGAACTGCTGTCCAAGTAATCGCTTTTGTCTAGATGGAATTGCTTGAAGAAGTAAGACAGGACTTGCAACACCTGCTTGACCACCCGGCGCTTGCGCATAATGGAAAGATGGAGATAGATGAAGAATCTCTTTCCCTGAAACTGAAGATCAGTATCACGGTCTGGGACTTTGTTCTACCTGTTACGCCAACGCTTCCCGCTGTTTTTGGGGTACGTTTAGAACCTTTCTGCTCAAGGCTTTACAGCTTGTATCTATTGCCAGGTCTCTGAAACTGTGATTGAAGACCGCTTTAATGTGGAGCATGGGAGTAGTGGCTGGTATAATGCTTTAGATAGGCATTACCAGTGGCTGCTGCAGTTCAGAATCAGCCCGTATTTTTGTAGATGGGGTGATAACATGCGTATACTAGCTTATACGTGTCCCTGGCCAGGTACTAGTGGGTTACGTTGTGTTTCACTTACGTTTTTTGTGTTGATTCTCCAGCTGACCATGTCAAGGCAGAGGAATACTATTCGGATCCAAGGCTTGCAGCCTATGCTGTTCCTTATGCTCCTGTTCTTTCCAAGTAAGCCTAACGATGTTTATGCCTTTGTGAGGTGCTACGCTATGTGACAGCTCCAATGCAGTCAAGGATCTCGTGACAAGGGAGATCGAAATTCTAAGCACAAAAGAGCACTGGCGGAAGTCATATTTTTATTTGTGGGACGAGGTATTGTAACGAACAACTGTGGGTTGACGTTTGTACTGGCCACTTTTTTGGCAGCCTTTGAGCTCGGACCAATACGATTTTATCCGAACAATGTCAGAAGAGATCAGGTCAATTGCGCCAAACTCTCGAATTTTAACGACTTATTATTCTGGTATTTGGTTTCCTAGTCTTCTACTGATTCGAGCATCTGTTTTACCAGGTCCAAGCGACGTGCAATATCCACCTGGGAGTTTTGAGGCGTTTATAAAAGTTCCATCGTTTCTACGGCCTCATACGCAAATATTTTGCACGAGGTAGCAATGTTTCACGTTTTACACATTAAAAAGATCCATGCTTTGTCTCGCAGTGAATGGGTGTTGGGAGGTCGCGAGGACCTGGTCAAAGAAATCGTAGCGGAATTGCAACCCGATCAACGCGAGGTAAAGTCTTGACTGCGTACTTGAGTTCAATAGAAACACTGTACTTGTCTTCAGGAATGGTGGACTTACGTTTGTATGGGGCCGTCTGATCCTCACCCAAACTGGCACCTTGGAATGCGAGGTACGCAACACCGTGGGGTTCTCTGGCGAGCGTGGAAAGAAGGAGGCTCGGGATTCCTTTACTGGGGTACGAATTGCTACGAGAAATCACTCTGTCCTGCTGCTGAGGTTTGTAGAGCATCATCTTTCAGTGCCTGACCATAAAAAGTGTGCTTTGTCTTCCTCCAGATACGTTTCCGTCGGGGCTTGCCTCCCGGAGATGGCGTTTTGTTCTATCCCGGGGAAGTTTTCACCCCAGGCAGCAGTGAGCCGGTTTCTTCAGTACGCCTCGAAAGAGTTCTAAGTGGACTCCAGGTACAAAGTTCACGAAAGAAAAAAAGGCAATCAAGCTTCGTTTTTTTGATGGTGACAGGACTTGGAGTATCTCAATCTCTACGCTTCCTGCTTTGGGAAGCCGGCGTCCGTGGCGCTGCTGGAAAAGTGTGGCGTGTATCTGGGGCCTGAGCGATACACGCAGGATCACGCAGCCATCGACGCGATGAGAACCGAAATCTATTGCTCATGCCGGAGTTCATCGTAAGATCATCACTTAAGGTGTCTAAAGCGGTAACTTCTCGTAATTTTCCCCCAAATCTATTTCTTCGAGGGCCACTTGTGATTGTGAAGCGGCATCTCGTCTCCTCCGCTAGGATTTGTTTTTTGTCCCATTTTTTTGAATGAACCGTGCCTCTATTTTCTACTATCGCTTTAAGAATTTTTCTATTTTTCTTCCTTCGTCCATGGCGAGGAGGCATTGGATTGGCGCTGCTTGGCTTTGCCTCTTGGCGCTGGGCTTGCAAGAGCTTGGCATCGCGAGAGGCGAGCCATCAGCCATCATCGTGTTTGGAGACTCCACTGTCGACACTGGCACCAATTTCTACTCGCCCGCCACGCCTTTCAACTTCCAGGCCAATCGCTACCCGTATGGCTTCAAGGGATTCCAGGGCCAGGCCACTGGGCGATTCACCGAAGGCCGAGTTATCATCGATTTCATCGGTGAGTGAGTTCTTTCCTCCAAAAAAAATTCGTTTTTTCCTCCCAAAGTTTTTCTTGTCTATAATCTTTCTTTCAAAGTTCTCAGCCTCATAGCGGCCATGGAGAAAAGCTCAAGCTACGATAGCATTTCTCCTTTTGCCTTTATAGACCCTTTTGCTTTTCGGGAAATGCTCCTCTTTTTACTCGTGAACTTCTCATGATCTTTTTTTTTTTTTTTTCGTCATAGCCGAGTACGCTGGCTTCCCTGTTGTGGAGTCATACGCGAAACCCGACGCGTCTCTAGCTCAAGGAGCCAACTTTGGATCCGGAGGAGCCGGTGCTCTTGATGACACCAACGAAGGAATGGTAAGTGACTCCTTCCGTACACCTCCAGGATCATCCAAAGTTCTTCGCAGGTAACTCCGCTTAGCAAGCAGCTGGAAAACTTTGCGGACTTCTGCGGCAACGTTTCCAAGGAGAGGAACCTGGTCGAGTACGAGGAGTTCCTCTCCAACGCCGTCTATCTCATCAGCATTGGCAGCAATGACTACTTGAGCGGCTACTTCAGCCATCCACACCTCCAGCAAGCTTTCACGCCGGAGCAATTCGTCACCCTGGTTGTCTCCAATATCACCAAAGCGATCGAGGTAACCTCCAAGCTTTCATCACTCTCTCCAGTTTCTTTGGATACCACTATGGTTTCTTAACAGGTTCTCCACTCCAAGGGAGCCCGAAAGATCGTCATGTTTGGAGTTGGGCCTCTGGGATGCTTACCACCTCTGCGGATCGTCAATGGCAGTGGTGGCTGCCACGAACCGGCCACTGCGCTGGGACAAGCTCACAACTACGCGCTCGGCCTCGCCATCCAGCGGTTGCGGCAAATCCATCCCGACTCCATCATCGTCCGCGCGCATTTCTACGATTTCTTCGAAGAACGGCAGAATAACTTTGGAGCTTACGGTACGTGATCGATGCTTTGCTCGTTCTTAAGTTTTCTTGGAAGTTTTTCTCGTTGTTCGTGGTTTCCTTTCGTAGTTTTCTTGTTTTCGTATACTTGTTTTGCTTTCTCGCTCGAAGTTTTTCGTGGTTTCGCTTAGTTTTCTTGTTTTCCTCGAGAGTTTTTCTATCTTAGAGTTCCTCTCGTTGCTTCTTAAACTCTTCCTCTTCTTTGCGAATCCAGGATTCAAGGAACCCGCACAAGCTTGCTGCGGAGCAGGGCCTTTCCACGGCCGTGGACACTGCGGGATCGAGAGCGTGGATCCGGAGCTGAGCTACGAGCTTTGCGAGGAGCCATCGTCCCACGTATGGTGGGATCCTTATCATCCCTCCGAGAGAGTTCACGAGCAGTACGCTCAAGCTCTGTGGCGCGGGAACGCGACGGTGATCGAGCCCGTCAATCTGGAGCAGCTCTTCCACTCCTCGTCGCCGAGCGGTCGCATGGAGAATCCAGGAACACCATCTTTTGCATTTCCAGAAATGATCTAGCGAAGCTTTTTCATTTCTTAGAGCTGCCAAAGTTTGTGCTCGTCTTTGATTTGATCTCTGTTGCGAGCACGGCATAAAGAGAAGCTTGGCATCTCTCATCTTCAAAGGTGTCCTTCAGAGATCTCCATTTGTCACGTCGTGGCTATGGTTTCGTATTGAAGTAGTGTTGCATGTGTGGACTGCTTCGAACGTCACCGAAGGAGACCCAGTCTTTGTCCGCACTGCGCAAAACAAAGAAAAAGTGTCAACCTGGAAGGTTTTGATAGGAGAAGCTTACAGTGATTTTGTGAGGTCGCTCACTGTCTGGGGGGAGATGTCCCTGTCTCTTTTGGCCATAAAGAACAAAATCTTGAAGAAGAGAGGCACTGACATCTTACCACCTGTTTTGTGTCCAAAGACTTTGAAGAGCGCATCAATAACCGCTACGAAGCTCTGTTTTCAAAAGCAAAAAAAAATTCCATCCACACCATCCGAGAGTCAGATCCAGTGTTGCAAAAGGAGCACCATTCCCAACTCTTACAGAAAAAAAGAAAGAAAAAACTTAGAAAAGAGAACCTTTGCTGTTGTGGTGACGAGCAGCACGAGAATCTCCTTTGGATCGACGGGGTCGGATGGAAACTCGATAAGCTGGAAGACTTTGGAGAAGGCGGCCGAGGCAATGCCGTGAGAGGCGCAAATCTCGCGGAGAGTTTCGGGGTTCATGGATTCCGTGTCCTTGAGATCCACCCATACTGCCTGGAGCTAGGTAGCCACAAGAAAGAGATTTTAGCAAAGTTATGCTTTGGAACATCAAAGAGAAAACAAACTCTAGAAAACCTCCTCGCAAGAAACAGGAAGAAACGGGAGACCAAGAAGCGCCACCCAGGGAGAGGAGATCTCAATTGGGAGAGTTGCAAGGAGTGGAAACCAAAGGAGAGAGAAAGCGCAAAGCTTACTTGGGCGAGCGTGGGAGGGGGCGCGGTGGCGTCCAATTTGGCGGTGGCGAGGAGGCGCTGGAAGTAAGTGCAGGCAAACTCGTGGAGGCAGGGCGGCTGCGATCGGATGGCCTCCTTGGCGAAGCCCTTGAGAATGTCGGGGAGCGCGGGAGGGATCTGGATTTGCTCCACGCAGTAGATGGGGTCGTAGTCGAGATCCATGCTGGTGGAAGTTAGAATTAGGGCAAAAACCGGGGCTTGCTCTTATTTTATACATATGAATCCAATTGGAAAGGGTGATGTTGGCGCAAACACCGGACGAGGGCGTGACGACTCTGGGACCTTCTCCATCAAGGCCTCCAAACGCATGTAAAAATATTTTTTGCTAGCAGGGCCAGCGATCTCCGCCAGGAAGATGGGAGGCGATGGATCTCTGCATAACGGCGTATAAACCATGGGTAATCAATAATCTCTTTCCAAGCCTTGCAAACAGCTCTAGCTTTCAGCAAAATCGGCATCGGGAGCCACAAAAGGATATCGACGTTCTCCATTACCCTTTCCATAGTCCTGGTTTTACATGACTTAATAGGCTGCTGGTAAACGATAATTTTCTTAAACATCTCTTTAAAGATGCCCAATTTTAGCTTAATCACTGTAGCAACTAAAGATTGACTATAGCTGGTCAAGGAGTTCTTGAAGTCCGGTAGTGCAGCTCAGTTGAACCTAGTATCAACAGATAAGAAGATTTCTACGAGAATAAAAAGGATTGAAAATGCGATCTCACAATTGGGTGCACCACCAGCTCCGCATGGGTTCGTGGCGGGTTGAGCTCAATCGAATCAACCTCGTAGCCCAGCGCCTTGATGTGCTCCAGCGCGGAGACGAGCGCCGCTTGTTCCACCCTGACGCGAATTCTCGTGCTGCTGCTGCCGCTGCTCGTCTGCTGCTGCTGCTGCTGCTGCTGCTGCTGCTGCTGCTGCTTGGAGGTGATGGAATCCTCGCCGCGCTCCGATCGACTGGCAGCGCAGTCCGTCCGTAGCTCCTGGACGTATCGTATCGCGCCTTGAAGGATGGACAGCTTGTCTCTCTGTTTGGTCGGAGATGAGAGCTCTGAGGAAATGAAATCTAAAGAGCTATATATCTTACCTTGGTGGGGAATGGCAGGAGCGACTTGAGCGCTGCGAGAAGCTCGGCCTCGCGCCGCCTCCTCTGCCTCTCGGCGATCATGTGGCGGCTCCGGATGGGGGAGAAGTTCTCCTCGTTTTGCAGGCCGGATTCCTGGTCGGAGACCATGCCTTCATCCTGCTGTTGCTGCTGCCGCTGCGGATTTTCTCGGTGTGGTTGTTGCTGGAATTGTTGCTGATTGTGGAGTCTCTGTTGCTGCTGGAGCTGGATCTCTTCTTCCTGCTGTTGCTGCTGTCGCTGCTGATTTTCTCGGTGTGGCTGTTGCTGGAATTGTTGCTGATTGTGGAGTCTCTGTTGCTGCTGGAGCTGGATCTCTTCTTCCTGCTGGATCTGCTGCTCGAAATCGAAGAGCAGCCGCTGGATCAAGTCGCCCATCTCTCCGCAATTCCTCTGCTGCGCCCCTTGCTCGTGAGGGAGATTACTTTCCATATCTTGGCTGGAGCTCCAAAATCTGAAAATCAGCTCCTGGCGCTGATCTGTCTCCCTTTGTCCCAGATTGTTGCAATGGATTGTGGAAGCTCTGCTCTCCTTGGGGCGATCAAAAGGCTTATAAAGTCCAGAGAGTGGGCAGCTGCCAGGAAGCTTCCTGACGCACCAACGTCATCGCTGTGGACGCATCTGGGTCGTCGAAAGCATTCGCGTGCCCCAATGCAAAGGCGCACGTTGTTCTTGCGAGCAAAGACATTTCCAAACATACGAGCGACAAACGGAATGGATCAAAGCGTGGCGATTTGAGAGTCTAAACGTTTCCCTTTTCTTTGATAAGAACAAAGTCAAGAAAAGAACATTTGGAGAGCAAAACACCAAACGAATCTTTTCTCGCCATTTTCAATCGTAGCTAGCATTCAAAAACTTCAAGAGCTCGTTGCGCTTCGTCTCCGCAGCTCTGTCTTCTTTGCTCTTTTCAACCTTGAGTTGAATCTGAAAAAAGAAAAAGAAAAACAAGAACCCCACAGTGAAACAGACATCACAAAACCGAAAGAACCAACCAGTGACGGACCTTTTTACCCGAAACAACGCTTCGACGAACGCCGTCGTCCTTTGTCCGACCCAGGAACTGTTGCCACAAGAAGAATAGCATATCTTAATCCCAGAAACGCAAGAAAAAAAGAACCAAACCTTGGACAATTGCACGGGACCATTGCTTTCATCGCTCGATTTCTGCGTGTAGCTCCAGAGTTGCCAAGAGGAAAAAAAAATATAAGAGCCCCCACATTCACAGCAGCATCAAAGGAGTAAGGTCCCATGATGCCATACGTTGGGCAAACAATGTTGCAAACCACAGCTCCGATGATGGAACGGCCCAATGCATAGGCAGCAAACGCGTATCAAAATCCTTGCTCTAAACAAAAAAAGAATCGTACCTCCCGCTTGTGCTTCCTGCTCTTGTGCTTGTGATTTCTCTCCTTCAAACCATCCTAGAAAGCCAAAGAGAGATTTTTACAAAGCGGGACCAAGCAGAAAGGAAACAAATGACCTTCTTGTGTGATCTGTGAAGCTTCTCCTTTTTCCTGCGCTTCCGCTTCTCGGAATCGTAATCGGTGTCACTCTCGCTGCTCGAAGCATCACCTCTGCCATGGATCGAAGAGCTCGAGGTCAACAATCACGCACTACAAGCAAAGAAAAGAAGGACTAACCGGTGCTTTCGCTTCGCGCGTCTCATCCGGCCGCCGCCGCTGTGTGCATCGCTGTCGGAGGAGCTGCTGCTGGTGGCGCCGCTGCTGCCGTCGGCGGAGCTCGCGTCGTGGCGGCGGCTGTGCTTCCTGCGGCGATGCTTGAGGTGGTGATGCCGCGACAGCGATTCCGAAGAGCCGGAGGTCGAAGAAGACACCGCCATTGCGAGACCACAAAAACCCTAGACTAGAACTAGGGCTCTTGAGGCACACTAAGATTAGCACAATCCTAGACATAATTCTGGAGAATATCCACTCATGTCACAGTATATTCGCTTCAATTTATAGCTTTGGAATGTACAGTCGTTTTCGTTTATTTTCTTCTCAAAAATTTGGCCATTTTTCTCTCCAAACTTTTAGGATCATCTGTGAGATCCTCCGTCGTAGATTGTCCTCGTGTTGTAGGAGCCACACTTTTGGCACTTGTGGTATAGCCAGTGGAATGGCGCTGTTCCTTTTTGCTCGCAATCGTTGCAGAGGATGTCCTGGAACAACCAAACATTAGAGCACACTTTCCTTTGGTTGTGAGATTTTCACCTGGACGCGGCCCTGGTATTCCTCCGGAAGTTGCTCAGCCGCCAACAAAGCGTCCAGCATCCCGAAGTAAACCTGGATCATTGTCGAGTGTTAAGAGACGATCGATCGCAATACAACGAGAGAGCGAGATAGAGAACTTACCGCCATATCTCCCAAGGATTTGCAACAGACGGGACATGTATAGTGGCAGCAAGAGTATGCCTATCGCTCCAAATTGTCAGACAAGAAGTGAATGAGAAAATCTGGAAATGATACCTGGAAACAGTCGGAGTGCATGAAGTGATTGCAAGGAAGAGCTTTCACGGGGCTGCTTGATGTGAAGAGAAAGTCATGGCAAATCGGACAGTTCGATTCCAGGCCTTTCTCCCTGCACTTGTGGTCCTTCAAGGACACGTGCATGCACGCATTGCAGGTCATGCAATGGAAATAGTCGATGCCCAGGCCCTTCCCCTTTCTGCAGAGGTTGCAAAAGGGGCAGTGATAGATGTCCCTGAGAAAGATCGAAAGCCAAAGGATTAGAAAAACGATTCTCTGCGAGTATGAAACTGGCTCTGACCTTGTGTCGTCATCGAAGAACTTGCAAATGTTGCAGTAATACCTGGCCATTCTGAAGCCGGAGCATTCAGGATTGTGACAGGATTCTGCGACTGGTTGCACTTCAAGGCACTGCATACACAGCATTTCCTTCGTTTCATGCCTGCTATTAAAAAACAAGAGACTGCTGAGTATCTGCTTGATAACCGAAACACCACAAGAGTACCTGTTCATGGGATGGTCACTCGCTCTGTCATGACAAAACCGGCAAACGAAAAGCGAGCCACAGCAAGCGGCCCGAATCTTGCAGTTCCTTTTGTAGTGCTCGCAACCGTATATACCTTTGACGGGATCATGATAGGACCGGCTGCGCCCAGGAATGTCTCCAGACGTATCTGTTTCTTG